TGCCGACCGTTTCACGAGCCCTTTTGATAAAGAATTTCACAATACATCTATATTGGGGATTAATCCCCAAAGATCCAGATATCATCTGCATATCTGTAGATTTCAGAAACAAGTTTATTCATATGACTAAACAGGAAAATCTACAAAAAGTCTAAAGTTTAATATTAACCTACAGATAAACACAGATGATGTTTCCAAATTATAAAAATGTTGAAAATGACTCCTAACACATCTAATGTTTGTAACTAAATATGGAAACAGTCTTCTCCAAAGAGGAAGAGAAACAAACTAAAGGTTTTTGCACCACATGATTCGTCATTGCATAATTCCTCTGGTTTGCTTGCCAGCTGAAGGGCTGCTTTGTGAGCAGCTTGTGCCTCCGAGGGCATGCAGGCAAATATTTTATCAGATTAAGACAAATATGTAATTCATGAGCAAAACACCTTGAAACAATTGCAGGTAGCAAAGCAGAGATATTCCACTACACAAAATTTAAAATAATACATTTAATAAACAATAGCAGTTCAGTGTTTCCCCTAGTTCGCAGTGCGCCCATATCTTCTGAGATTTTTTGTCGGGGGTGGGGGGAGGATACACGTCTGTGTCACCAGTTTGCACTGACTTTTCGAGACTGGGGGAGGGTGCGGAAAACGGAGTGTTACTTCTGTAGCGTTTTAGCTAGTGCACCTGTATTGCGCTCCGCTAGCTTAGCGCTACGTCAGTGCTGGCAGTTGTTGACGTGTGTGTGTGTGTGCACGTGTCAGTAGGCAGGGTGCTTGGTTCTGTTGACAGGGCGGGGCTCTCTACTTGTATAATGGTCGAGGAAACAACCTCTTGGAGGTAAACAAGGGTAGGACCTGTTAAAAAAGGAACACTTTTTGTATAACAAAGTGAGACCGTCTGTTCTTGATGAAACCAGGAGGAGAGGAGGGGGCTGTTATGCCTCCCCTCTGGAGCAGCAGACCAAGCAAACAAAACGTCCACAGAAGAGGTGAAGCAGGTAGAGTAGGGACAGATGTGATGAGGAGTCACGCAGCAGAGATCAGGTCTGAACGACCTGGTCAACACAGCTTGGCTCCGCTCAACATTACACTTTCACAACAGCTTCTAACACAAAGCACTCTTTCTGTACTTATTCTTAGCTGTGAACAACAAATCCTTTCAGCGTTGTTGCAGCCTAGGAGCTCATTGGTCACTCGTTAAAGACACTTACATTGACAACAGACTCTTTGAACTTGATGTGCAGGCGGTAGTTGGACATGGCGATGATGGCGTCCTCTGCTCTCCCCACATACTCTGTGAACTCCCCGTGCAGCTCAGGAAAGGGCACCTAGCAACAGCAGGAAGTAAAGCGTCACAGAAGCTGCAGAGCCACAAAGATCTAATCGGCATTTTTTATAGCTCATGGACACACGCTCCGTTCAGCACAACTACCGTATTTAAAAAACTGTAGAAAAACAATATCAATTTGAAAAACAGCAGGAGTGTTTGCTTTATTCGGATTAATCTGGGCTCCTGATTTAAAGTTATCAGAATTATTGCTGCGTTGTGCCATTTGTCCAGTTAACGTAACTTCCTGCTGTAGAAACATTTTGCAGTAAAGCTGTTTTCACTTTTTTTTATCTTGTCCCTGACAAAATGATGTCTGTAAATATTACTTGAAATTATCACAACATTACAGTCTTTAGTAATGAATTAAGACATTGGACTTGTGTATAGATTTGCAGCAACGCTAATCACTGAAGCTAATGCTAATTGCTACATATTTTGAATGAAGTTTTGAATGTTAAGTTAGCATTTATGCTAATTGTTTCAGTGGCCTTTAAGTTGTTTTTTTTTTTTTACTTTTTGTTAGGCATGACAATATATTAGTTACTGTTTAGTTATGCTAAATGAGCCAGTTATTAAATTTTCAAATTAATAAAAATAGTTTTATAATTGTTTATCTCATCACAGCCATAAATTATTCGATGAGGAGCCTAAAGATTCCCACCAGTGTGATACAATAGAGTAAATCTTCCTCAAAGTGTCTTGAAACACGGCTAAAAAGAATGAAATCAATGTTCAATGTGCAATATTTGGTAACAATTAAACTTAAATAAAGAGGAAATGTTTGGCCTGTAGCTGCATCACTTGGAATGAAGTTCAGCTGAGGGAAAAACAAGTCAGTAATGACAGGTGAGCTTGACTGAACAAAAAATAAACATTTGGGCAGCCCTGTTATCTATGTCACAATATGAACTGATTAAAGGCCAAAGTCTTTAATGTGTGAACGTCTGCTGATGCAGGAAAGTTTAATAAAAAGTTGATATGGAGCCTAAATCTGCAAAACAATCTTGTAACTTCCTGTCCTGACCTGCATTTCTTCCTAAGGATTTGTTTTTCAGCCCATCTTCCCAACAGTTATAGGTGGGCCTGACGTAACAGATCACTGTGGGTATGTAGATTACAGAGTGCAGACTCTGGATTGTGAGGTTAGCTGTTTTTTTGTTTTAATTTCCAGCCTCAGTGAGGTTAAGAGCTGGTTCACCTGCAAGTTTTCTTCCTCCAGGACAGGGGACTTCTTGGGGAAGATCTGATTGGCCTGGATACACTTCAGGCTCTGCTGCCCCTCCTCCTCCTGAAAAAAGAAAAAGACGCCTGTTTAATCACGAAAGAGCTGAAATTAACTTCAACAACCACAACCTTGTTTCCCAAACCTGCAAATCTGTATTTTTAACTTAAAACATTTGTTGTTTTCATTATCCATCACTCATGTAGCGTCACTTTACATTTAATTTGAACGAGCCCATCAACATTCAACAGTTCATATTATTTGGACGTGTCATGAATAATGTGACGGTGACTTGATGCAATACTGTCTTCTGTTTTTCACCCAGCATGTAGTGTGCAGCCATGATAATTTGCTATTACCAGCCCATGTAGAATGAAACTGTCATTTAGAAAAGAAAAGCATTTGTACCATTTGATGCCCTGCATGACAAAGTTTAAACCAAAGATCTTGTGCAATTTGTTCGTGGTCATCAATATATGTGATGAGGATGACCATCAGCAACTGCTACACCAAAGCTGAGCTCCATGTTAGTAACATCTGCTGACTTGAAGCATGTTTTCTGTATGCTAAAGGCGCTTAGCTGAGTTTCCTTCAAAATATAATCAGTTGTGGAGGTACATCCAGTGATCTTAGATATATTTTATGTTGCTAACAGACTGACTGTGTTTAGAGGCAATTGTTGCCCGGGCAATAACAAACTGTATGATATCAAAGAAAGCACTACCGTACTTCCACTGTACACGTTGCACCGCCCTATAAGTCTTATCAGTCCAAATATGCTTAATAAAGTGGAAAAATACATAAATATGTTGCTTCGCCACATACGTCACATCTATTATGTGTCACTGCTGCTGCGTCGTGTTTGTTACGTGTCACCACTGACAACCCGGAAATGTGAGCCGGTGTTGTGCCAAAAATTGATTGGTTGTCAAATGGTGGCCGTGTGCACAGGAGGACTTTAACAAGAATAACACTCAAAAACAATTATTTGTTTGCTCAAAAATATAGAAAAGGTGTCTCAGTTCAACTTCTCCTTAGTAAATGCACTTTGACGGTCAAATTAGCTGCTTTTCTAAAATAGATTCGTGGAAGCACGCAGAGGCAGGACTCGCTGTGCATTTCTCCAAAATTTGAACAATATAACCACCTAAAAATAATTATTTGTTTGTCTGACATTATAGTAAAGGTGTGTCTCAGTTGAACTTTTCCTTAATAAATGCACTTTAATGGTCAAATCAGCTGAATTTGTCCTGGGTGGCGTGAAGAAATGCAGCTGATTTGTCATTTGTTGCAGGAGTTCTGGAGCGAGACGAACGTGGCTTGATATGGCAAGACAAGTGTCTCATTAATAGCCACTTTTACCTATTAATGAGACACTTGGCTTGCCATATCACTTGAGGGCCCTCTAGCAGCTGAAAATGGTAGCTTTCAATATTTTCCATGTCAGAATGAATGAAATGGTCAGATCTCAGCCAAAAATTGGTTATAAATATGGAAAAAATAATAATATTGGTCGGTCGCTTTGGTGTATAAGTCGCAGGACTTTATGTATGCAAATTTATGCAAAAAGGTGCGACTTATATGGCGAAAAATACAGTATATACCCAACTCTAAAAATAAGAGTACCACATACAGCACATTACGTCTGTTGACAAACATACAGCAATCTATAGCAACAAGCAAAAACTTTGTATAACCTTGACCTTGATTTGTGACCTTGACCTTAGAGCAGGGGTGATGAAAAGTGTACGGGGCACTCTGTCTAGTGGTGCAACAAAAGTGTTTCAAGTTTCATTAAATTAATCCCAATCTTGAGCGGATCAGAAGCTATGGGCAGGACAAGAGAAAGTTTACGTACAGAGAATAACACGTCTGCTTTTTCATGGGCGTATAAAATGGAAATAGAAAATATTTTACATAGCACCACAGAAACAAAACTTTTACATGCAGTTTGTAACATTCTGTAGGGCTTTATAAGGGCCAAACGTTTGAGGCAGCAGTACTCATTAAGAGCAACCATTTTAGTGGGGAATGCAAGGAATGAATTTGTTCTTTTACACCGAGTCCAGAATTTTCTCTCAAGTGTCAAATAAAACATGCTTAGACTAAACACTGCACACAGACCCCTAACAGGAGGGGGATGCTTGTAACAGGCAGTCCTGTGTGATGCTGGCTCAGCAGAGCTGGTGCACAATCACAACAACTGGAGAACTAAATTAAAGCCTGTCAACAAACAGCAGAACACTAAAATAAATCAACACAATGAATTCAAATGTTAAAAGGTAAACATATCCAGTAGTCAGCAGCTTGTATGAGGACTGCAACAAAATGACGACTCAGTGCAATCTGCTGGCTACCCTACCTTAGATAAATAATGTTAATAATTGAATTTTTATGTATATGACTGTTTCTGTTCAGTGTCCTGAGATGACTTCTGTTGTGACGTGGCGCTTTATAAATAAACTGAACTGAATTATATCAGATTGTAACAACAGGAAACTGAAAGTTGCCCTGCTTGAACAGCAGAGGACCTTTGACACGTTCAGAAGTGACGCAGTCATCTGCTTCCAGACAAACAGCGCTGACTACAAGTGATAATCAATGAACAGTTCCCATTTCACAGACCAAGGGACACAGCAGACACCAGCCAAAACAGTAAGGAAAGGGAATACTTCACCATGGCCCCTGCAATGGAGTGTGGGTCACCCAACAAGGAACTTCGGCCTCGATCTGGCTGTATAAAAAAAAAAAGAATAAACCAACAGAAAATCAACACACTTTGAGAAAGTACGTAAACTGTACAATATTGTATAGCACTTGAGCCAGGACGTTTGAATTACTAAATGAAGCAGCTTTACTTTCCTGTACTAGGTGCAACTTTATTTTAAATAAGAGCGTTCCAAAGTTTTCAAGATCTGGTGTTTTCTACCAACCAGTTTATATGAGATATTGTGCTAACAGTGAGACCAGCAACATTACTGTAAGGAAAGAATGCTTTCTCTTTAATTTGAAGGATGTCATTTTTAAAACAGTTACTAATGTTTTAAGAGAATATTTCAGATGTAAACAAAGTAATTAAATTATAAGTTAAAAATGTCACTGATTTCCTTGTGAGAGTGAGTCCCAGCATGTAAATAAAAGATTTTCCAGGAGTTGTGGTGACTGTGGAGCATCAACCACAAGTTTCAATGTTCTCAAATGGATCCCCCACCAGGGACCTCCTTGTTCCATCTCTCTCTCATATCTCAATATCTGCACTCATGTTGTCGTTGTCCACTCTCAAAGAAGCATAAAAATGTTTATATGGGAAGGTTTTTTTTATTCAATAAAATCAGAGAGTAAAACTGACTCTGTTTGACTCTGGTGAAGAAAGAAGACATTTGAGACTGTTCAAATACAAAGTGTTTGTCAGCCCTTAATGACTAATATTTAACATGACAATCGACATAAAAAGGAAACAATGTTTGGATTTCTTGTTTTATGTGATTCTATACTAATTAAAGTACATTTAAAATTACAGCATTGTATTTGTGCAACACGTATTTCCAAAACACTTCACACAGAATCTTTAAACATATAGTAGGGCTGCACAATATATCAAAAATATATTCATAGTACTTTTATCAGTGTGCATAATATCAATAATGCAAAGAATTTCAACAAAATTACCCAAACTGCATGCAAAATATACAAACGGGCAATCAAATGGACCCCCACCAATCTGCTCGCAGCTGGCACAGTGTTTTAACATTGGAATGATTGAACAGGTGGGTTCAATAATATTATCACCAGTGCAATAGGCTTTAATAATATTGCAAGTTTTCCTAATATTGTGCAGCCCTAATGTCTGGGTAAAACTATGAAATGAAACCATGAAAACTATTCAGAAAATCTGGAGGAAATGTCACGAGTTCAGAGAGAAACCTGAAACTAATAACTACTGTTTTCATTGTGTGGCCCTCAGGCTGCACTAAATTAAAAACAGACAGAATAGTGCCATGGTAGAAGTCCCTGCCAGAGACCGGAGACACTCGGTAAGTAAATTTATCACTACCCACACGAGCACAAGTTGGTACTCAATAAAACGTAAGTTAAAAATAAAATCAAAGACAATGCAGCTTTCCCTGTTGCTATGAAAACCTGGATGTATAAATCTTGGGAAAAGTCCGATATGGAGATAAATTAGTCGAGGTTTCAAAAATGCTGATCTGCAAGAGTACTACAAGGTTTGCACAAGATTCACAAATGCTTAAACATTTTTTTAATTCACACATTTCAAGCTGCAAGTAGGAACATGCTAACGTGGAACATGCTAACAAGGATTATGCTAACGTGGAACATGCTAACAAGGATTATGCTCATGCAGAACATGCTAACAAGGATTATGCTAACGTGGAACATGCTAACAAGGATTATGCTAACGTGGAACATGCTAACAAGGATTATGCTAACGTGGAACACGTTAACACAGAACATGCCGACAAGAAACATGCTACAACAGAACATGCTAACACAGAACACACTGACAAGGAATATGATAAAGCTGAAAATGCTAATGTGGAACATGCTAACAAGGAACATGCCAACAAGGAACATGCCAACAAGGAACATGC